TTCTTGCAATCTTGCTTGTGCGTTGCTCTGAGCGTGTGCGTGCGAAACCGCTTCCGTCCGCGCTTACGCGCGGCCACCCCCGCGTGTGTGTCGTGTGTGTGTGTGCACCGCTCGTGTGTTGTACCTTGTGTTGCTGCGGCGCGCGCTGGTGTGTCGTCGTGTGGGTGTGTTGCTGTGTTGCGTGTGTGTGCTGTGGCGTGTGTGTGGCTGTGTGTGTGCTGTTGCGGTGTGGCCGTGCGCGTGGCAACCGCGCGTGTGTGTGTCGGGCGCTTGTGATCGTGTGTGTGTTGCGTGGTGTGTGCGTTGCGGGGGGGTCGCCGGCGTGAACTGCGACCGTCGCCCTGCGTGGCGTGTGCCGGGTATTGTGCGTGTGCGTGCTGATGTGCTGCGTCGTCGCCGTGTATATACTATATATATATATATAGTATATATGATAATATATCGGTGCGCTGCGTGCGCTGCAGTGCCGTGCGTGCGTTGCGTGCGTGCGTGCGTGGTGAGGTGTATCGTGTGCGGTCATGATGTGTGCTTGCTACGTATATATATATATATATATGTGGTGTGTGTGTGTGTGCTGGGGTGTGTGTGTGTGTGCTGTGCTGTGTGTGTGTGCTGTCGTGTCGTGTGTCGTGCTGCCGCGTGCGCGTGTGCCTGTGTGTGTGATCGGTGTGCTGTGTGCGCCGCCGTGCTGCGTCGCGCCTGCGCGCTGCTCCGTGCGTATATGTGCTGCGTTTGCTGCCGTCCCGGTGCGTGGAACGTGACGTGTACCGCTGTGCCGTGCAGCGTGCGCGTGTGTGAGTGGAGTGTGAGTGCTGCAGTGTGAGTGCTGAGTGTGAGTGCTGCAGTAGTGAGTGGTGAGGTGCTGAGCTGTGTAGTGTGAGTGCTTGAGTGCACGTCTACGCGTTACGTGCGCGTGTGCGTGTTGCGTGTCGTGTGCGTGCTGGCGTGCGTGCGTGCGCGCCGCTCGGTGTGTGTGTGCGTTGCGCAGCGCCGCGTCCCACCTGTGTGTGTGTGTCGTGCTGTGTGTGTGTTGTGTGGTGCCATGTCTGTCGCACGTTGGTGTGTGTGTGCGTCTGATGTGATGTGTGCTTGTCTGTCTGCGTGTGCGTCGTACGTGCTGTGTGTGTGCACGCTCTAGTGTGCCGTCTTGTGTGTGCCGTGCGTGGCGCTAGCGTGCCGCGCGCTGCATGTGTGGTATATGTTGCTGATTGCTGCGTGCGTGCGTGCGGTGCGCGTGCGGTGTGGTTTGCGTGCGCAGCCGTGGACTTTGTGAGTATGCTCGTGGGACGTGTGATGTGCCGGTGTCGTCGTACACCGCGTGTGGCGCGCTGTGTGTGCCAGTAACGGATGGGTATGCTGTGTCGTGTGCGCCCTGTGTCCGTGTGTGCGCCGTGTGCCTGCGTTGTGTGTGTGCTGTGTGTGTGTGTGTGTGGGTTTACCACGCTCATGTGCTTGTCTTGTGTGTGTGTTGTGTGCTGCACGCTTCATGTGTTGTCTGTGTGTCGCTGTGTGTGTGCCACGTCGAACAGCGGGCCAGGGGCTCGTGTGCGCTGCGCGTGCGCATGCGCGTGCCGCGTGCATGCTATGTAATGTATGTGATGGTATGTATGTTATGTTGATGTATGGCTATGTAATGTAATGTTAGGCTATGCTACGTACGTACTTACGCCCTACGTACGTACGTACGTACGATGTGTGTGTGTGTGTGGGTGTGTGCTGCTGTGTGTGTCTGTGTGTGTGTTGCGTTGCGTGTGCAGTCTGTGCGTGGCCGTGTGCGTCGTGCGTGCTGCGTCTGTGCATCCCGTGTGGTGGTCCGTGCAGCGCTCATGCTATGGTCTTGTGGTGTGCCGTGTGCGTGCGTGCGGTGATGCGACCGCGCTGGTCCGTGCGTGGCAGCGGCAGATGTGTGTGTGTTTGTGTGGCGTGGTGTGTCGGGGCTGCTTGTGTGTATGCGCGTGTGTCGTGCGTTGCGGTGAAACTGTGTGTGTGTGGTGTGCTGTGGCCTGCGCGGAAAAGTGTGTGTGTGTGAGCCCGTGTGACTGTGCTGTGTGTGGTGGTGATATGGTATGTAGGGGCCTGTGGTGTGGTGCGCTGCGTGGGGAGCCACAACGTGTGTGTGTCGTGCCAAGTGTGATCGCTGGCGTCGGTGTGTGTATGCTAGTGTGGTGTGTGTGTGTGGTGTCCCTGCTGCTGTGTGCAGGTGGTCGGTTGTGCTTGTCTAGGTGTGCGCGTGTCGTGTGTAGCGCTGAACTCCCAACCGCGGTAGTGGCGGTGCGTGTGGCGATGCCGTGTGCGTGGTCGATGTGTGTGTGTGTGTGTCCGTGTGTGGGCCACATCGGGTGTCCGTTCAAGTGGCCAGCGTGTGTCTGGTGTGCGTCGGCTCAGCGCTGTGTGTGTGTGTGGGTGTTGTGTGGTGCGCTGTGTGTGTGCCTGTGTGTGTGCCGTGTGCTGTGGTGTGTGTCGTGCGATGTGTGTGCTCGTGAGCCGTGCGTGAGCGGTGAGCGTGCCTGTGGTGCACCTGTGTGGTGCGTTGTGGTGCGCGTGGCAGACACTTGTGCGGCTGTGGGTCGACCGTCGAGCGTGTGTGTGTGCGTCGTGTGCTGTGGCGTGTGTGTGTGTGGTGTTCGCTCATGTTTTCTTTGTGCTGCTGCGTGCGTGTGTGCTGTATGCTGCTGCGTCGGCCGTGCTGCGTGTGTGCTGTGTGTGTGGTGCTGTGTGCTGTGTGCTGGTGTGTATGTGCGTGGAGTGATATCGTGTGCCGTTTCGCGGGGCTGCCGTGGCGTGTGCGGCTGTGTGGCTGGCGTCCCAGCCAGCTTGTGGTATGCGGCTGTGTGGGGTGCGTGTGTTGTGCAGTGTGTGTGCGTGTGTGTGCACGTGCTGTCGGCGTGATGTGGGCGGGTGTGTGTGTGTGGGGGGGTGGGTGTTGGGCCGTGTTGTGCGTGTGTGGTGGTGGTGGCGGCCGCGTGATCCGGCCAGCTGTGGAGCGATGCGTGGTCGCTGTGTGTGTGTGTGCTGTGTGTGTGTGTGATGTGCCGCTGGTGTGTATATATATATGTTTCTTTGTGTGTGTGTAGAATAGTGTGCTGTGCTGTGCTGGACTGGTGTGTATGTTATGTATGTAGGGTGTATGTGTGCCTGCTGTGTGTGTGTGTGTGTGTGCTGTGTATGTGCTGCGGTGGGTGTATGTCGGCGTGTGCGTGTATTATAAAGTATTATATATTATTATAGTATGACTATATATATACTATATGTGGGCCTGGGGCCTGCTGGTGTGTGCGTCGCCCGTGCGTGCGTGCTGTGTGTATGCTGTGCGTCGTATGTGTGCGTGTACGTATAGTATATAAATTATATGCTATGCTGTGCGCGCCCTGTGCATGTGATGTGTCGGTGTGTGTGACTGTGTGTGTGTCGGTGTGCGGCGCGGGTGCCATCGCCGTGCTTGGCCCCGGTGGTGCTGTGTGTGGGTGTGCCTTGCGTGTGCGGGGCGGCCGTGCGCGCTGTGCTCGTGCGTATATGTGGCCGTGTGCGCGTGCGTGACGTGGAGCGGCTGTAGCGGTGATGGGCGTGGCGCAGGGGAGTGGGTGAGTGTGAGCTGTGAGTCGTGAGGAAAGTGTGCCAGTGTGAGTGCTACGTGTGACGTGTGCCCGTTGTGCGGTGTGGCGGTGGTGCCGTCTGTGCGCGCGCGCCGTGTGTGTGTGTGTGTGTGTGAGAGAGAGAGTGTGTTTGTGCGTGTCTGCGTGCGTGTGTATGTGTTCGTGTGCGTGTGCTTGTTCGTGTGTGTGTGTGTGTGTGCGTGTGCGTGTGTGTGTGTGTGGTGGCTGGAGCACCCCTCGTTGCTTCCGCGTTTGTGTGGGGGAAGCCTGCATCGCTGTGTGTGCTAGCGCCCTCTATCAAACGATAGTGCTGGTCGGTTGTTCGTTGTCTGCGGCTATCATCGGGGTGGATGCGTGGTTTGTGCGGATGCCGACAGTTTCGGCGAGATTAACTATGTGCAATGATTAACTATGTGCAATGATTAACTATGTGCAATGATTAACCATGTACAATGATTTACTATATAAAATGATTAACTATGTGCAACGATTAACTATGTGCAATGATTAACTATGTGCAATGATTAACTATGTGCAATGACGGAAATGCACGTTTCGTGTTCAGTTAGATGCTGTCAGGCAGAACTGTGTCACAGATGGTAGATGATCCGAAAGGGACAGAGCATTTCTTGTCGATCACTGAAAGTTATTGCTAGGATCATTTAGGAAAAATTAGGAATAGGGATATTATTAGTGGTCACATGGAGTAATGATTAGTATTAGCGTAGATGCTTAACAAACGTGTTTTATCGTCGATATAACCCGAACTTGATCCCACCTCTTCGGTCAGCCGTGCACACTCTCAGCTTCACGGAGTCGCTTGCTGTTCTTGAATATATGCTTGGCATAAAAGTCACAAACCGTACCCAGGGAAATATTTATAAGGCCATCAAGTTGTTGATGGTTATACATAGGTGTGTTTTACGTACGATGGCTTGTTCATATGTTATATCACGTTTATTCACTTGTCTTCGCCTCTGTGTTTTAGTGAGGTGTGCGAGAAACCTTATCCCCATGGATCCTAGCGGTGCCTCGGACCCCTACGTCAAGATCAAGCTCATACCAGATCCGGACGGAAAGACGAAGAAGAAATCGAAAACGGTCAAGTCGACCCTCAATCCAGAGTGGAACGAAACATTTAAATTGTGAGTCGCCAATTTCTTGCGTTAGCTAGTGATAAAGGTTTCGGTTGGGCTATTGGTGTGTGCGTGCGTAGGAAGAAAGCTAGTAGTATAATCTAGTAGCGTACGTAGTCCAAAGATATTTTCGAGGTAAAGTTGGTTTAGAGGGTTTTACAGGGTTTCTAGAAAACGTGTCCCATCTTACCCAGGTCTCCCCTACGTGCGTGTATGGGTACCTATTAACACATACATCTGTGTCCCGTGTATGTGAGAATTTGTACGGCAATCAGTGTAGCAATTAATAAGCGAGTTCTGTAGCTCGCGCGCGCAACGAATCATGGGAAATGTCAAAGGTCATTCGGGATGAACAAGTAACGTTGCGAACGCAGCGCTGTATAAACTGTGTTTAAAAGTAACGTTTTCGGTCTGAGTTTTTAGCTCCTCTGACATAGTCAGATGCAGCTTGTAGAATCGCATGAGCGTGCGTCCGTCCGTCCGTCAACAGTTGGGCCCAAATCTAAACGGCTCGACGTACGGATTCGAAAGTCGAGACGTGGGGGGGGGGAATCCGAAAACGAGTTGGGATGTCGAAGCTGGGGGTCAAAGGTCAAGAGGTGTAAAAGAAGGGGGAACATTTCCTCCTTAACTTAAGGATAGGGAGGAAAGGCAGAATTGCGGCACAAATCTAAACGGCTCGACCTAGGCTCGTGATGGTCAGTGTATAGCATCATGGTAGGAAAAGCCATCACTGTGCCAAAATTAGAGGACACAGGTCAAAGGTCAATGGGGCACAGGGCAGATTTTAGACATTTTCTGAGGACATGGTCTGACGGAGCGATTCAAAAACGTTTTTTGTTTCAGCGGTGACCTACCATTTTTATGGCTTTATTGAAATGACCATAAAATGTACTTTCCGCTGGCATGCGAAGAGTAAGTGTCGGATAATCTTTTGACCCTCAGGAGGAGGGTTAAACATGGATTTGTTGACTGTTAACAAAGGACTGAACTGCTTTTGCTATTGTGGATGTGAGGCTACAGTTGCACAGTTCAATTGCAAAGGCAAATGTTTGTTGAACAAGGTTTACGCTCCTTAAATCATATTATTTTCTAAAGCAGTCTGTATTAGCACCCTGAGTAGCACCCTGTATTAGCACACTGCAATGAACCCTGAATGCTCGCGTGGGTAGGCAAAAACATGGGGGCAGCCCATTACGCATGAATGGGGGTTAACTGGCACTATTCTAATCATAATTATTGCCTGGCAACCTGTAATGCAGATGTGTTAACTCGCAGCTGAGCGATATTTTCGCCTGCCTGAATATACTTGGATTTTAGCCGGTAGGATTTCAGCAACTCAATGGAGTGAGGTTATCACGCACGAAGGGTGATGCCATCTTTGATTATTGATGACACTTGCACGCGCCATCTCGCGGCAACTGCTTTTGCTATTAAAGCCCCCTCCACCCGCCCCTCCCCCCACTCTTCCCCCACCACCACCACTATGCTCGCGCTCGACGCATATCCATGATAACATGTTAATATAGCGAAGTCATTAAAGTTACACAACTGTATCTTTATTACTGTACTACCGGTATAACAAAGCCTAGCTATCATAGATTTTAGATCTGTATTAGTAGTATCCAAGATATATGCTCTGAGCGCGTGCGGTGGCGGGAGGGCGCACTGGATTCGGTTGACCTGGGCAAACTCGCGCATGCGCAGTTGTAATGCCGAACTCGCTTATTTAGCCGTACGCAATACACTTTTACCTGCGTATTAGTAAAGGTTGCATTTAATTACACCGCCGCTCAACCATCTCAATTGCCAGCGACCTGAAGCAGGAGGACAAGGATCGGCGGCTTGCCATCGAGGTGTGGGACTGGGACCGCACCTCGCGCAACGACTTCATGGGCTCGCTGTCGTTCGGCGTGTCTGAGGTTCTGAAGAAGCCCGCCGACGGCTGGTACAAGTTGCTGAACCAGGAGGAGGGCGAATTCTACAACATCCCCATCACTGATGAAGCCATACAGGAGGAACTTAACAAGAAGTTAGAGGTATGTAGTCGGCGGGCTGCGTGAATACTGAAGGTGTGTAGTCAGCCCACCACACATCACTCCACACATAGTGATAGGATGCACATAATAAAACACACACACGTTAATGATGTATTCCTGATCAGGAGGGGAGGTGTGCTTGTGTTTGTCTGTGTGGAAGCTAGCTCAGGACGAATGGCTATAGTTCTAGAGCTATGTGGAAGCGTGCTCGTGTGTATGTTTTAGCGCGCGCACGTATCTGTGCCTGCATGTGTGTGAGCGCGCGCGTGTGTGCATGCGTGCGTGCGTGCGTGCAAGCTTGCGTGCGTGCAGATCTGTCACACTATAGGATGGTTGATATCGCGATGACTCATTTTAATTTGGCCTCAGGGATTTCCCCTCTCAAACACATACACGTGATGCGTAACTAGTGCGACAGCTTGTATATATCGGTAATGTGGTAGGCTGCGCAAGCACTAATAATACTAGCTCCCTCATATATACTCCGTAAAATACGGCATGCTGTCATATGATAGCCAATTTATTGCTAGTGGCAAGTATTTTTTATCGTGATTACGCATACATAATTCATCACCGTTCGAGCTTTTCTCTATCAATAGTATTTTATTGTGGATAGCGGCTTCGTAGCATCATTATTATATTGTAAATATGACCAGCGCTATCGTTGAGCTATTCATTTGATATAATTAATGTGATCGTGTACTTCATGTTCATCTAGTTACTCTGTGACTAGCAATTTTAAATGAAGTAAACAGTAAATGCCATCACATATCTAGCATATTCCCTGCATTCCTTGAGTATATACTAGTTAAAATTTTACTTAAATTTATATCGTCGCTGCATATACCTGTAGCCGTTAACTTTGCGTAATTCGCGTTTTCACTGTAGCAATACCTTTATCGACGTTCATACATTTGCCAACCTTACGTGACTAGTATATTGACTAGTATGTTCAGATAGCGGTCGCTCACCAAAGGTAACGAACTCGTACACGGCCGCCATGTTGTATCACGTAGTACAATTTTTTTTTTTCATCTGCAGAAGATGGCGCAGATCGCTGCGTCTAAGCCACGTCCGCAGCACAGGCCCAAGGGCGACGGCCATAAGGAGCAGGGCGATCGCGTCAGAGCTGCAGATTTCAACTTTCTCATGGTCCTCGGCAAGGGCAGTTTCGGAAAGGTACGTGCTTGACACTTGGCAGTGCAGGAGACTAGATGGACGGTCTAGTCTATGGCAGTCCAGTGATTGTCAGGGCATTGCTCATGTTTGCTAAAACTCGCTATGATCTCCTGCCCGAAACGGTCCAGATAAATTTATGTTAAATTTAGTATCGTTTGAAAATCTTTGATTTTTACACGAATTATATTATATAGAATTATATGGTAGACTAATGTAATTAATATACGATTATTTTCACGTGGGTATTACCTTCATCCTCTGTGAAATACCCAAATTCCTTGCCTCAGTGGGAGCCCTCCGCTTCGCTCTAGCTTTGAGTCTCAACTTAGTCGGCGAAATGTGGTGTTTCGTGTCTGTACAAAAGCGAACAGGTGGCACGTCCAGCGACACCAGAAGCACGATCTTGCTCGTCAACCGAGAGTAGCGCGCGCTTCGCGTTTTACAGACTTTCATGCGGAAAACCCGTTCTCCATTTTAAGTCGAAGATTGTTGCCATCTTGTGCACTGTCATTGACACTACCACGCCCAGTCCGTAAATGCGGTGAGTGTCTGTCTTGGGGCATCACGCGATTCACGGTTGTTTTCGGAAATAGCCACCGCGAAGATCGTAAAATAGTGGGTTGCTAATCAGGAAAACGTCGTTATAGACGGGAAGTACGGTTGACCCTAAAACCCAGGCGACGTGTAGACGATTTTTACAAGTCGTTACAGTGCGCCGCGTCGACACTTTACGTGAAGCATGTGTCGCTAATGATTGAAGTACAGCACCCGCACCTTTAATTTACTGCATGAACGTGGCAAGACTTAAGCGCGTACGTAAAGTAGACTGGAGCTAGTCGATAATTTCGGAAATTACGGAGCTTTATAGACACATTAGTAAGTGTTTGCCTACGTGATCCGCAGCAGCTTAGCCGAATACTCAACACATTAAACTTCTATCTAGGCATTCATTCTGTCATTCGTGTAGTTATGTAGGTAAATTTGAGAATGTATTGGATGGTAAATGTCGTAATGAAACAAAGCGTCATAAGAAATCAACTGTGGGCATTATAATAGGAAAAATCCAATTTATATTAAATGGTTCATTCTTCTCTCATATCATAGTTTAGAAGATAAGATAGGTTTGATGACAAGTCGCGTTCTCAATGAGCACATCGCATTTAAATTCACATATACAACGCGAAGAAATGTCCGATTTCATCTGGAAAGAATCACCCACTGCCTACGACCTGTAAGCCAATTTCTTTCGTTCGGTGATCTCGATATCCTAGATAAGCTCTACGCAGTACTAGGCTTCTTCAGTCCGTAACCACCATGGTTGTGAAGTGTCACCACCATCGCTCGTTTCTGCCACCAGGTGATGCTGGCTGAGAGGAAGGGCGCTCCGGACGAGCTGTATGCCGTCAAGATCCTGAAGAAGGATGTCATAATTCAAGACGATGACGTAGAGTGTACGATGATCGAGAAGCGCGTGCTAGCCACGCCCAGCAAGCCGCCATTCCTCGTGCAGCTGCACTCTTGTTTCCAGACAATGGTGAGTAGCAGCCATGACACACGGGTATGGTTGGTCATCGTAGGCAAAAATAATTATTGTTAAATTATAGCTCTCTTACCTAATCAGAAGCCTTGTCACGCATAATTTTACCAAGGTTAAACTACGTGTAAGAAGGTCTCTGATTGGGTAAAACGGGGTATAAATTTTACCGCGGTTAAATTATTTCTACCGCAGTAAAATAATTATTTCTGAGCACGATGGCGAACCATACATGGTCACTCTGTCAAATGGTTGATGGTTGTGCTGCGGCTTTATTGGAACGTGATATGTACTGTAGGTTGTACGCTGTTGATGTGGAAGCGTTGTTACGTTGACGATGTTTTAATTATATTATTTCCGGTAAACGGTTTACTTTTCGCATCGTCTAGCTGCCTCGTTTACTGATAAAAATTTAAAGTGTATGACAATGCATGAATATTTAATTAATAATAAGGCAAGAATATAATTCATGACTTTTTCAACATTTTCTTGAAAATAATTTTAAAACAGCATCTCTACATTAGTATTATTAATATTATAATAGTTGTTGTTGTTGTTGTTGTTGTTGTTGTTGTTGTTGTTGTTTATTTGTTATTTATATATTTTTATTCGTTAAACTATACGGTAATATACATGCATATGTATGTATACTCGGCATGTACATGGTTAACTGCTATTATATATATTACCGCTGATAATATGCCCATATCATGCGTTATATAGTTGAGTTGCATGTGGTTTGATGGTTAACGTGGTTAGTCAGTTAAAAAAGCAAGTGTCACACCTTTGGTTGCTTTGATTATGCCTCTCTGCCTTCTCTCTCTCTCTCTCTCTCTCTCTCTCTCTCTCTCTCTCTTTCACTCTCTCTCTCTCATTCTCTGTCTCCCTTTCTCTCCCCTGCCCTCCTCCCTCCCATCGCTCCCTCCATCCCTCACTCCCCCTCCATTCCTCCATCCATCCATCCCTTCCTCCCTGTCTCCCTCTCTTCTTCCCTTCGTTCCTCCCTCCTGCCCTAACTCCCTCCTTCCCCACCTCTGTCTCCCTCCTGCCCTCTATACTGTATCACTCTTCATCATGACTCTTTCTCTATCCTGAACCTTTTCCATATCTGAAATTCGTCTCCATCACTAATTATTTCTTCTCACAATATTATTTCACCGGACCAAATCTCGCAACCTCGCCGGTTTTTAAATCCCCGTGCTCATAGCCCTGCAGCGAGTCAACGCACCAGCTTCTGCGAACGCATGCACCACGTGCATCGGCTTATAGGTTTCCCACAGACTTAATTACCTTCACCGCCGGTGATGTACATGCAGCACTCGCGTTTTACGCCGAATTAAAAACCACCCACAGCCCGCCGTTATTAATTCGCCGACATCGCAGCTAGATAGCTGCACATTTCAGTAATCGGTCGCGTATCTGAACCCTCATCAGAAGAAAGATCACTGAGTGTGTATGTGCGTGCGCGCGTGCGCGTGCGTGTGTATGCGTGCGCGCGCGTGCATGTGCCTGGGGGTGCCTGCATGCGCTTGCGTGCATGTATTGCAGTGGTCGCTGAGTAACAAGTTTTTCCTTAGTAAAGTTTCCGAAGTAACACCTTTACTATCTTCCAGGACCGGCTGTACTTTGTGATGGAGTATGTGAATGGAGGCGACCTCATGTTCCAGATTCAACAAGTGGGCAAGTTTAAGGAGCCCGTGGCCGTGTACGTATAATATCGCACTGGTATCACGACTAGGCAGTTAAGAAATACCGCTTTGAAAAAAGAAACGTTGATATGTATAGGTATTATCGTCAATCTACGAATTCATTGCCCAGCATTAGCATTAACACGCGATCAGAGTGTGACACAGCATTTCTGCCATATAAATGACCCCATTTCCTACAATTCAACTTAATAATTTTCCTCTTCAATCAAATTATTTGGCAACTACACTGCAACTCTTGCTAACCTCTAATACTTAGAATCAAGAGCGTATAAAGAAGGATTTACTTCTTTATACGCTCTTGTTAGAAAGCATCTATGCGTCGTGTTCTGTGTCATCGAATGCTTTTCCATTATATACGTGCTTCTTTGTGTGGTGTCAGAGTATTTCCCCTTTTTATGACTTGTAACCGCAGTTTCCAACCTTCCCCCGTCTCAAATTTTAAATAGCCATGCACACTTTCATTGTGCGGGCTTCTCCATAAGCCGCCAGTGCTGGTTCATTACTTCCCTTTCCTACCCCTGTGGCAGAGTTCAGTGGGCACTGCAGGTCAGGGAAAATATTTCCACGAGGCCACCGGCTTTGACGTAGCTCCGTCTTAATGAGCCGCCATCGGCCGCAGAGCATGCACGCTATTTGCGCATAGTATCAATTGAAACTTTCCCCCGCGACGTCGCAGATAAAAGGCGCGTGTGCGCCAGAGCAAATCGACACTTCGATATTTACCGAAGCGCCGTTGCTTCTACCCTTAATGGTACGTCACCCCCGATGGCGACTAATTTACCCACAACAGGGCACCTCCGCCATGATTGGCGAGGCCGCGCTGCGTGCTTGTCACAGCACGTGAGATACGATTGTCAACATCATTGTTGCCATTGATTGCAGGTTTTACGCGGCGGAGATAGCAGCGGGCCTGTTCTTTCTACACAGACAAGGAATCATCTATAGGTAATTCACGCGCGCTATGCATGCGTGTATTACTATGTATTTCGTGTATGCTTTCTGTACAGGCAAGTACTTATCTACAGGTGTAAACGTGTAGGGATAAATATATCTACATGCAAACGATATGATAAGGTATTACGTGTATACGGCTGATACGTCTATGATATAACCAGGAGCTTATAAAAGGAATTCCTTTTATAAGCTCTTGATATAACAATAACCGATATTTAAAGCATTTTGAAACTTCATCCCTTTCTAAGGCACATGATCCTGTATATGGTATGAAGTATCATTATATATTCTGACAGAACTGGAAAATGTGAGTGTGGGAAAAAATATATGGGTTGCTTACATAGAGATAGGCAAACAGAACGCACATCCATCGGCACGAGTACGCGCATATGCATATACGCGCACGCACGCACGCACACTTACCCACACATATACACGCACACACGCACTCACATTAACGTACCCACATATGCACATACGCACACACAGACATACACCCATATACACACGCACAGACATACATACGCCCATATACACACGCACGCGGGCACATACGTTCACACAGACGCGCGCGCACACACACACACACACACACACACACACACACACACACACACACACACACACATGCGACATGCATAGCGAAATGAAAAATAGCATAGCTGCGGAGTCACAGATGCAGTCTCTGCTGTCACTCTGACGGTCCCTTTCTCTCTTTCTCTCTCTCTCTCTCTCGCACACACACACACACACACACACACACACACACACACACAAACACACACATACAAACGCACACACACACACAAACAAACGCATACATAAACACACAAACACGACAGGGACCTGAAGCTGGACAACGTGATGCTGGACAGCGACGGCCACATCAAAATCACGGACTTTGGCATGTGCAAGGAGAATATAGTAAACGACGCGACGACAAAGACGTTCTGTGGAACGCCGGACTACATCGCTCCTGAAGTGAGTTTGCCTCCAGGCACCGCCACCGAGCAAGATTCCTCTTCTCTCTCATGCTATATCTGTCTTTGATCATGACTTGACGAGGTTAATCAACCACTGGGTGGCGCCACTGAAGGTTGGTTCAGTACTGCCTGAGATCCACCGTTCTTGCGTGTGACGCATGCCAGCCAGCGTCATTAGAAATCACCTGATTCTCTACAGGTTTAATATGCATGTAGTTGGCGGTCATGAAGTACATACGACACTCTTGTTAGACACTCGGTACATGTTTGTGGGTGCACACCGAAGTGCTGCTACTGCTCCTGCTACTGCTGTGACTTCTGCTACTGCTACTACTATTATTATTCCTCCTCCTCCTCTTCCTCCTCCTCCGCCTCCTCCTCTTCCTCCTCCTCCTCCTCTTTCTCCGCCTCCACCTCCTCATCCTATTACTACTACTTCTGCTAGCGCTTCTGCCGCTACTGCTGTTTCTGTTGCTGCTACTGCTGCTGCTGCTGGTGGTGCTGCTACTACTACTACTACGCTACTGTTACCGCTGTTACTGGTGTGACTTATTTATCAGGTGTAACGTGGTGAATTTTCTTTTGCTGCAGATTATCATGTACCAGCCGTATGATAGATCAGTGGACTGGTGGGCGTACGGCGTGCTACTATACGAGATGCTAGTCGGGCAGGTGAGTTACATCACGGGAATGTCTCATCTGCACATTTCTCCTATCTCCCATCTCTCTGTGAGATAATCGACCATCACGTACCATGTGAGCATGCATATCGTCTTTCACGTGTATTGTTTTAGTTTCATTAGATTCATACGCTTATTTCTCTTTCTCTCTCCCACGCACAATTGCTCGCTCTCTCATTTTCTCTCTCTCTCTCTCTCTCTCTCTCTCTCTCTCTCTC